ATGGCCAGGTTGTGAACAGGTCCACCAGAACTGCTGGCCGAGGAGTTTGTTGAGGGAAGGTTCGTGATACGGCTTGGTTGAGGCGTCTGTTTAGGAGTTTGCTTGCTGCGATCAGTTGATAAATTTACAGATAGAAGTGAAAGTACGCCTTTTGGGAAGCAGTAGCGAAGAAGAAGATTTGATGGCAGGACCGATAAGTTTATCGTTCCGTCGTAACCTAGCCTCAGAGAGCCTCACAGATATGGGCGAAAGAGCATAATGAATGTTGTATTTATACGACGTGCTTTACGCGATACCATATGCTTACAACATTTATCAGTCCTTGCGCTTATCGCTGGGCATCATAGTTAATGCAATAATTGCCTGTCTGTCCGTGCCCTAGTCGCTAATGGTCGTGATTTCATTAACGTCGCTGATTTTTAACGTGAGTGTTACTTGACCATTTTGCGCGCTTTTAACAGGATTGCTGGTTTATCCCGCTCTGTCTTGTGCCTAGATATTTTGTCCGGGCAAACTCATAGCACATCATATGGAGGCAGATAGAAAACCCCGAATTAGACGTAAATATGCGAGTTTATTTTCCTGACGTTTCGGATTACGTCGGGAATCCTTAATCATAGGTAATGGTAGCATAGTCCTAGCCATGCGCTGATAGGGTTGAAATATGCAAAGGTTGCACGGTATTTATAGTTCATAACGGTCATCCGCGTGCGTACAATAATTATCCACTCCTGTAGCCACCGTTTGTTCCAGTGATCCCGTCTTCTTCTGAACCCCGAATTAAATAGTCTCCGCCTCATTCGATTCTCACCTTTTGCGGGACTTTCGATTTCGTTCCGCCACAGGGTCCCGTCGAATGAGCTGCGATCTGGAAAACAACGTCATTCCTCCTCACTCCTGCCACATGTTAGGCCATTTACGTTCGATGTGGTTTACCGGTTTCCTCGACGTAGTTGCTTTGTCCGCACCAAGTTTGGTAAGGGACTTCACACGGTTCATGCGGTGGCAGCGCGTCTTTCGGTCGTATGACCTGGCGCCTGATGGTTGCCTTCAATCTGTGTGCAACAAAGCGGCTGACAGTTTCCGAAACCTTCTTCACGTAGGAGAGGGCTCGCCAGAACTCAGGACCCGTTGAACGTTGCTCCCCCTCGCGTTTACCATGCACAGGCTGAAGAATTTGCGCCGGTTACCTGTCGTTTTAGGCATCCGTCGAGATTTTGTACTTCAGTAAGCCTGAGTTTCTGAAATTCGCCTCAACATGCAGATATATCAACCTTAGTCAACTGTTTGTATTAGTCGTTCTCCTGAATTATTTACTTTCAAGCCACCTCAATCTTTGCGGCTGACGAGGAGAGCAATAAGGCCACCAGTTCTCGGTGTCAAGACAAAATACAGAAGACCGGAGGTAGGATCAGACGCAGGTGGCTGGCACGGCCGAAACCGCCCATAGGCGTGCCACCTCGTCGCTGGAATCAAAATTAGTCCTGGTTCTAACAAAATGCGTGACCTAGAGTATTCATCGCAGTGGAATGGATTGTATTGTACCTTGGATAATACACTGTCTCCACGGTGGCTTTGTTGTGCGGAACCGGCAGTTCATTCAGGGGCCAGGCCAGCTTATTACTGGAATCGCAGCGGGGAACAGACATATTCAAAAAATTGTATTTACCTAACCTGGTGGTCTCTTACCTAATGGTTTCTTCCGACACTTTAGTCGGAGCCTCATCTCGGAGAGAAGGGATCCGTGCTCCGTACAGCCATCGGCGTCGGAGATCACGATTTTCACCAGCACGTCGTGGCGGGCTCGACTCCGGTCGAGAAAGTAAGGCAGTAGATGCCATCACAACGATTGGTGGTGCATCCATGTTGGTTTCTTCTGTGTCTTAAGGAAGACGATGTTGGTGAGGATGGGGAGGAGGATAGGGCGGTGTTCTGTGCTTGCTCGCAGAAGCGGAAGACCGTTGTCTTTACAGTCGCGAGTTCTGTGGGGACTCAGAACACCCTAACGGGCAATATTATTTGTCCCGATACGACCTTGAAGTCACCAAAGACGACCAGCCTCTCCATCTTCGTCACACTCGCCAGGAGGATATGCAGATCTCCTTGGGATGTTTTCATCGCCTCGTGTGAGATTGTCACCGGGGCGAGGGCTTAGAA